ACACGCCCTCTGATCACGCTGCAAACGATTTGATTATTACATTTACATTTACATTTAGACATTTAGCAGACGCTTTTATCCAAAGCGACTTACAAATGAGGACAATGGAAGCAATCAAAATCAACAAAAGAACAATGATATGCAAGTGCTATAACAAGTCTCAGTTAGCTTAATGCAGTACACGTAGCAAGTTTAAAAAAAAAATCATATAATAAATAAAAAGAAAACAGACAGAATAGAAAAAGAACAGAGCAAGCTAGTGTTAAGAGGCCTTTTTTTGCTTTTGTTAATCAGAAGAATTCAGAAAGTCCGAATTATAATTGTATAATAAATAAAAAGAAAACAAACAGATAGAATGTAAAAAGATTAGAGAAGCAAGTGGTAGTTTTTTTTTTTCAAGAAAACAAGCAGCTAGTAAATAAATAGAGTGCAAGTCTAAAAGGGAGAAGTTTTTTTTATTATTATTTTTTTTTTATAAAGAATAGAATTAGAATAGAGAGTGCTAGATTTAGAGGGTCAAATAAAGATGGAAGAGATGCGTTTTTAGCCGATTCTTGAAGTTGGCTAAGGACTCAGCTGCTCGGACTGAGTTGGGCAGGTCATTCCACCAGGAGGGAACATTTAATTTAAAAGTCAGAGAAAGTGATTTTGTGCCTCTTTGGGATGGCACAATAAAGCACCGTTCACATAACATTTATGATTAAATGATTATAATTATTATCAATGATTATAACATTAATACACTAATAAAAAAAAGTGAAAAAGTGTGAATTAAGCACACCGATTTCAAACCTCATATAGGATTTTAATTTGAATAAAGTGAAAAACACTGCCACTATGTGGAAGAAGCAAATACTATCATGAAAATACTCATTCTAAAGATTCACTTAGCTCCCCTCTCTGCACACCACATAGGTACAAAAGCTATAACAGCATATTAATACATTAATAATATTGTCAAATACATAAAAAATATTGACAATGTTTTAAAGTAATATGATATTTTTAAAAATATAAATAAAAATACTTGTTATATGCAGCACTAGAAGCCTTGCATTATACAAATTGTATATAGCTGCTGACGCTTTCAGGGATGTTCGAGTAAGGATAAATATGGTCTCTAGTGAATTTTAAGTGTTTACATTGCCATTAATGGTGTGCATTGATTTAGGGTTGAGAACATGTGTTTTTGCTTGTTCAGCTTTGCGGGCCTCCCCAATAATTAACCCCTTTCACTGTTCTATTGTCCAGAATTAAATTCAACACACAGAAGAAGAAGGTCTGTCTGAAGCTCAAGAAGAAGAATGGACCAAAAAAGCCCAAGAGGCATTAATTCAACAATCTTTACCTTTTCTGTGTAGAAAGACTATGTGCCTGTACTTTGTCATTTACCCTGCCAGTCCTTTATTTGCACAAATAAATGATATATGTATTATGTAGATGGAATTTGTGTATATCTATATTTTGTACTGCTATTTTCTAATAAAAACGTATAAAAGTTTTTGCATGGTTTCGTGCAATTGATGTGATAATTAGCTTATATCATTTTATGTCCATATTTAAAAGAAAGCAATCTGACATTTAATTTTAAAAATACAAATACACATATATAAAAACATATAATAAAATCAACAAAAAGCATTCTATTCAGTGAAGGAAAATAATTTGAATATTCTATGAACTAACCCCACCTCTGTCTTTGACCACTCTCATTAATATTAAATATGCCACTTTAGTCTCATGGCAAGAAACACCTTTCAAGAAAAATAATAAAAAAGAACACAATCTACTGTGTTTACCAGAAAGAATCCCACTTATGCATTAGACCAATTTAAAAACAAGGGGTCACAACTAGAGATGCTCTCCACCTGCATAAAGAAATGACACTGTGAAGCCCCCTGCCCACCCAATCAATTACTGCAAACCAGCTGTGACTCTCAACTGCAGAAATATATCAGGCATATAGTCTTTAACCACTTCTGGATTTCTGTGTCACTATTTTGCAGAAGATTTGAAAGACACAGGCAAAACACATAAGTTTCATATAGGCTATTATTTTGATTTGCTTTAATTACATGTACACATTACAGAAAATATCACAATTCTGACACACCTGGTGCAGATGTACTCTTGTCAGATGGTTCACTCAAGTACAGTTTGTTTTGTCAACTGCATAAAGTCACGTAGGCCTACTTGAGAAGTTTCAGAAGAAGCCTAGGAAGCCGTCAAAAAAGACAGCAGTGCATACACAGCTCACCTGCAGAATTATTCAGGGAAAAAAACATCTCAAATGAAACCATTTCCATTAATAATGCACTCTTGTCTAGAGAACACATCTTTTCTATTTCCTTGCATATATTGTCCTTACCATCTTATGAAACGCCGTTCCTTCGTAAGAACCGACGGAACCCAGCTGTTTTGTAAGACACAACGTTTTATCTCTCCACTTCACCCTGCTGCTTCCTCGGGGAACAGACTGTCAAAATAACGCTACTCATTGAGAAGACTGCCAGCTGTGTAACCCAATCCGACACTCCGCTGATTACAGGAGCCAATCAGAGACGTCTGTGGGCAGGCTTCTTCTACGGTTGCCATGGGAAACGCCGGGACCGTTCACACCATCATTAGCATGTCTATCTTGCGATAACCAGGAGGCAGTTAAGCTAATATGACAGCCCACCTGTCATATTACAGCTTCATTAAACTGGAGGATTTTAATAATTTAAAGCTTTAGTTAAAATAAAATGTGTAAGGATTAACATGCAAGTACGCGAATATAAGCAATGCTATAGTTTCCTGTTTTTTGCTCAGTCTGAGAATACCATCTAGGAAAATATGACACCGAAAGGTCGGATAAAATATTTGAGGAAGCAGATGCTTTGAGCTGCCAAGACTCTCCCCACATGGGAAGGGAAATTATTATATCAACGGCACTGCCAAATATGGGAACTTTTTTTATGAATTTAAAAACAAAGTATATACTTCACACTGTAAACCCTAAACCAGTGTTCGAATTGAGGGGGGGCTGGGGGGGCCCGGACCTCCCATAAGCATTAAGGGACCCCCCATAACACCCAAAAAATATACTTGGGGGGGTCCCCTATTTTCAATAAAACTTTAATACTTAAAATGAAATGTTGATTTCTGTATTAAATTTAGACCTGGTTATGTTACATCATATTTTAGTTTTACGCGTTTTTACAGGGTTGCTCATTATAACCAATCACACACGATTCTGTTGAGCTTAGGAATGAAGTAGCCAATCAGAGGCGTTCAGATCAGTCATTGCTGAAACCCCAGAGTTTTGTTCAGACAGAAACTCGGGAATTCCCTCATCATAAGCAACAAAGTGCAGCTGTACATACGATGTAAGTTAGAGATTCATTTATTTTATACAACAGTTCAATAATCAAGAAGTTAATATTAAGAGAATTACGTTTTAGACACCACATTGCCTATTTTTTGCTCTATTTCGCCAACAAAAATGGTTCCAAACAAAGCCACAGCACTGTTTAGCGTCTCTGAAAAACATGACAGTGTTTCGTTCCTGAATGAATCAACTGTTTGAATGAGTCGGTTCAATCGCAATGACTCACTTAACAGTGACTTGCTGCCACCTACTGGCGGTTTTAATTTCACATTTTAAAGTACCCTTTTATATGTTTTTTTTTTTAATCATTTCAAATATCAGTATTCAACGTTTTAAGATTATAATATCAAAACATTATTTATGCATTTGTAACTGCAGGTTAGAGCATTCATGCCTTGCATTAAATAGTGTATGCATCTAATGCCACTTCAGATGCAGCTTCTGTGTCCTCTGCATTGCATGAATTTTGTTGATAATGATTTTATTTGTTTGGTAACTGCCCCAAATGTCTTATTATTATAATTGACTTTATTGATTAACAAGAGCTTTGACACAATTTGAACACTGCCCTAAACCCTACTTAAATACTATATTCCTACTTAAATACTAGCCTATATAAAAATATTTCAGTCAGTAAATTTGTTGACTGATAAGTACTGAGAAGTAGGGAAATTATAGTGTCTTTCAGCTGTGAACTTCACAAAGAGTGAATTTAACGAGTTCACCCGAAAATGATAATTCTATGTACTCACCCCATGTCTTTCTGAACCTGCATGACTTTCTTTCTTTGCAAATGATATTGAAAAACAATGGTAACCAACCCGTTTTGGTGACCATTGACTTCCACTGTAAAATGTCTTCTTTTATGTTCCTCAGAAAAAGGAACAACATGAGGGCGAGTAAAAAATTGTCATTTTTGTATAAGGTTAGCAAGCTAGAAGTAGATTAATCTCAGATTTGTGTTAAAATATCAGTTTCGACTTAACTTGAATTGACTCAAATTTAGAGAAGATAATAATATAATGCTAAATATGGAAAGGAAATTATGACTCTCAACCTTCACTAAAGGGAACATTAATCATCTTAATGGTGACTTCACTCAAAACATCTATCTAAAACAACATCGATAATGCTAAAATAAGAGAGCTAAAACTTTGTGAGTGCTAAAGAATGGCTTTTTAAATGCTACTTACATTATATGATTACATAATTCCATCCTCCAAGCACAAGGGTTTATGGGTATTCCCCACTGCATACATTTTGTATTGGGGAACAAATTTTTAAGCCAAAGAAGATCAAGGAAGTTGGATATTTGAGTTGAATTTACTATTTTTGTCATTCTTGTTATTGGTGTAGAAAACATTATTGTATGACCCATTGATGCTCATAGATTTTTCACTCCAGTTCTTTTGAACAGTGCCCATCTGCGACTCTCAATTAGCAAATGGAGAGTCACACAAATTAACACAGACTTACAACACAAAGAATTTATTTATTGTGTAACTGAATATTTTTTCCATGAAGTACATCAAGAACAACACACATGAATGCAGCATATCCTGATACTCAAGTATTCAGGATGTTGAAGTCATCCATTAAGGTTAATGGAGAGAAATAACGCCTGGGGGGTTGCTGTCCAGTCTTTAGGCTGAAATCCCACTAATCTGGGTCAGTATGATGAATGGAATTTCTTAATTGTATTGACGTATGGAGACTGGATGCAGGAGATCTAGGCTTAAGGTTACAGACCGGAATAAAAAGCAACTCTTTGGTTAACAGTGTTTAAAGGTTGTTTAAGGAGCTCAATCTTGTAAAAGAAAGATATAAAAGACTGTGAGCAAGCATATATATCTATATAAACTGATTCAGGTTGATTCAGTCATATTACATTATACTTGAATAAAACCATTAATTTAAATGTTACTACATAAAGCAATTTTTAGGTGACTCAATACTTTTAAAATGTATTTACTTTTAACAATTTCATTGTTCAGCAAGGATGCATTAAATTGACCAAAAGTGACATTAAAGCCAGTTTATATTATTATAAAAAAAATTCTATTTGTTTCAAATAAATGCTTTTCTTTTAAACTTTATCCATCAATCATGTGGGGGAAAAAAAAATCACGATTTCCACAAAAATATTACGCAGAACAATGTTATCATTGTTTTAACATTAATAATGAGAAATGTTACTTGAGCACCAAATCACTATTAGAATGATTTGTGAACATGTGACCTTGAAGACTGGAGTAATGGCTGCTGAAAATTCACACGTATGAGTGAAAAAGAAAATATTCTTTGAATAATTGGTCATATTTTGAAAAGAGGTATTTGTATTAATGTCTCACCTGGCACCTCATGGCTAAAATAATTTATAACACCATAATCTCTCACATTTACAGTCTAATAATTGGTGCTTTATCTGACGTGGTCTCATCTGGTTCCACTTCATGGTATTCTTCTATTTCAGTGTCATTATGTCTGAGACTCTCAATGAAGTGCACATTTCTTGTGTCTGTTTGTCTGTTCATGTGTTGGGCATTCTTCACTGACTGAGCCCTGTCTGTGGGGCCATGCAGTTGGCTATTGCTAGGAAAAAAATATGCTCTTTTGCCTGAAATGATGTGGAAGAAAGAGAATGTGTGTTCAGCATCCTCCCTGTCTGTGACACAGACAGAAGACAGAGGGTCACTATACGATGCCCTGGACTCTATAGGCGGATCTGACTTTTTCTTTTTGCTTAATATGAAGTTAAAGAATCCAGTCACTACCAGCATAATTCCTGTAAAGAAACAGACAACGTTTCTAAATTCATGTTAACCTGTATGTCTGTCCATAATATTCTTTGGGGTATTTTTACAAACTATTTGACTTCCAATCAAAATCTTTAAAAATTATTATTTTTATAGATCTCACAAAGTCCAAATGAATTGATTTAAGGTCATCTGTATGCTTGTGTATTCCTAAACATTGGCAGAAATAACTTTTAGAAGATATTTATCTATTTAAATTGTTTTACAATAATGCTTATTATTTCTTTAAATGTGTAATTTATTTATTTACTTTTTAAATATATAATTTACGCAATAAAGTGAAGCACCTGGTATTACAGCATGCCATACAAGCACTGGATGCAGGAAACACATCAAAGACATCATTGTGTAGTATAGAAACTTCTGAAACCCCCCAACTTTGGCCATCTTCTTCCAAAGAATGAAAATCTTCCATGTGGGTGGACAACTCCAAGCAAGAAAAAACAGATATGAATTATTTTAACGCATTGATTAAAATCACAATAATACCACAGATGATCAAATAACAAGAACAATTACATGATTCCTTTATAATTTGATTAAACATACGGAAGGCACATTGCCAACAGAGTGTCAATGAAATGGGCAACTTCAAAAATTAGGATCACCACCGAGGAGAGCCTGTAGAGAATACAAACAGAAGTAAAGCAGTGGTTTATAAAATATCTTACTTTTTGTTAGTAAAACAAACAAACAAACAAAAAAACAGTATAAATAGTTCAGTAAGCGATACCAAAACATACTTTAAAGTAAAAATGAAATAAAAATGTACTCGGTTTTCTTTATTAATGCATGTTCTTGGTTTTATTATAAATGATTCAAATGCAACTCCCACTATTCACAGTCTAATCAATTCCTAAGAATAAACTTACATGTTTTCTCATTAAAAATCCTAATTCTCACCACAATAAAGTAAAATGGACTGTGGACTAATGTAGACTTTAACCATTTCTTTCCCTTTATGCTTTTTATTAGATATTAATTACCTCCCCATATAAATATCTCCCCATTGTTTATGCAGAACCTCTCTGGTTTGGCTGTGAGCCCGGAAAGATCAGATAATCTGGGACAAGAGGTTCATTTGCCTCCATTTGTGTGTAATTCCCAAAAGGCGCTACTGTATTGCCAGCTATAGTTAGAAAAGGAATGACTGTGGCCTTCATTGACCATGGCCCTAAAAGGGTGATGAGCCGTCACCTGTTTGTTTGTGTAACATCCTTCAGTTGCTTACACCACCCAACGAGTGGCGTCAAAAGCAATAACTCCAGCCAAAGTCAACACTATTGACCCAGATACCAATACCATGTGTGCATTGTAGGTGGATTCTAACAATTAAATTGTAAACCATAAAAACAGTTTTGTTACTTGAAATAAATGCTAACTGAAATAAAATTTAAAAAAAAAAAAATTACATTTTATTTAGTTTAAGTTGAAGCACTAAAATAACTTAAAAAAAAGATAATAAAAATGACAAAAACACACAAAAATGACTCAAACTTAACCTAAAATAAAAAAAACAGAAACTATAAAAATAAAAACTCATTCAAAATATTAATAAAAACTATTACTATTAGTACATTTTATAGTAATATATACTAATATATACAACCACACATACTGTATACACAAATGGATGATACTACAGAGCTACAAATACTACCATAAAACAAAGAATAAATGCAGAACAGTAAATTGGATAATAATAATAATAATAAATAAACACTGTGGCTTATTTGCTCATTGCAGGAAATTATTTTTAAAATCTGAAATGAAGGCATGTCTCAGAGAACTTTCATATGAACACTCTGAACAAACCTTGAACATACCTTATGGACATACCTTTTAGGTACTAATATATACACTTTGAGTACTAGTATGTATCTTTAAGGTACTAATATGCACCCTTTATACAAAGGTGTACCATTTTGATACTCACAGTAGATAGATGGCCAAGCTGTTGAACTCCCCCTGTCTCTGAGTCTCTATACCCACTGCACAAAGCACTGATGACACAATCACAACGCTCACATTAAACTTAACATGCAGAAATCATATCAATCAATATCAATATTCTGAAGCATATGTGTAATTAATGTAAAAAGTAATAATCGGTGTGTTTTAAATATAATATAATATAATATAATATAATATAATATAATATAATATAATATAATATAATATAATATAATATAATATAATATAATATAATATATTTTCACAAAAATGGGATGCAATTGCCACTAGATGTCAGATTTGCCACACACCACTGCTGGGCAAATTAACCTATGGCCAGTATTGTTGTGCTGATTTTGAAAACAATGTACAAAACAAAAATAAATATAACTGAATAAAATACAATTCATCATGAGAGAATTGTGCAGTTCCCTGAGCAATGCAAAGCATATGGCAAATTGGGGAAATCTTTAAGCATATTTGAAACATTTATTTGAGATTTGTGAATTAAATACTGATTGAGCATTTGGATTTTTTTGGACTTTTTTGTATTACTAAAAATAATTACTAAATATTCTTATCATGTATTTAATAACAACATTTAGCTATATTCACATTATTCTACATCTTTAATTGTTTTTATTATCATTTGTAGATCATGCACAATAAAGCAAACAAAAACATTTTAATACTTGAATCCCTTAAACATTTTTATTTATTTATTTGTTTAAAGCATTTGGTAAATGACTGCAGTAACATTTAACAGTGTTTATGTAATTGTTGGACTTAACATAGGAATCTCAGTTATATTTAATTCATCCATACTCGTGGCTCTCTTTCTTTTTTAATATACAGTACATTTACCCTCTATTTCAAATTAAATGAGCCATTACCTTAACAATGGAACAAATTTCCCTTTATTTGACTAATTTTAAATTAATTAAATTTTTTATGTTGGGTAATGAGCACAAAACACACATTTCTTTCAGAATTGTAAACATCAATCACAGGGTAAAATATTGCAATGGCTGCTAATGCATGCTCCTTGATGCAAGATATTTTTTTATATTTAAAGGTTAGGTATAGTACTTTAGGTGAAACAATGGCCTACAAAAGAACAGCAAAGACGCAGTCCTACCTGCAGCAGTCGAGATGCCAAGAACTCTGCAGGCACATTCCACTAAAACCCACAAAGCTGAGCCCTTCATGGTCAAAATCAAAAGGTTTTTTCCTTTAGAACATATGTTGATTGTCAACGTTCTCTATTGGTAGTTCATTTATTGATAGATAGATATCAGAACTTTGTACAAGGACGGCAGCGCCATGGTTAGAAATCTTCTCGCCTGAGCAGGAGGGTGCTGTAGGCTGCGAACCAGTGCAGATTTTACCCTAGTAATCAGCCTAACATAGAAACGAAAACCCAAACACTGACCACCCTCTGCTTGTTCCTGCTACATTCCACCTCTACTCAAGGTGAGGGGACCAAACAACAAAAAACTTTACAGTTAAAGATTACCTGGTACTAGCAAAAAGCACAAATAAGGCATGTTCCCTGAGGAAAGACACACACACACACACACACACACACACACACACACACACAAACCCACACACACATACACATCCATACGAAAGTACACACTACACTTGCACACAAGCCTGTTGCAGGACCCTCACAGGTTTTGAGCAATGTGACCTTCATGAGGAGGTATTCCACCCTCCATCCTTTTACAGCTGCTGAGGGACATATTCAAATTAAATTATCTCCAGCCAGTCAGCCAATTAATCAAAAATGTCCTTGCCCAAGGTCAGATGTGTTTTCACAAAGTAAATGTACATGGAGGGAGTGTCAAACGTCAGCTCGATAAGCCCTGTCCTGAACCGGATGATTAATGGTGGAGAAAGCAGCAGTACTTTCATAGCCCAATCCTGACACAAGACAGATGTTAATCATTCTCCAGCAGACGCACTGAACAGACACCATCTCTTCCAGTCTTTAGTTACCTGTGTCAAAGGTCAGACTTTTCTCAGTCATAACAGGTCACAATTGATTAGAACCACAATGCGCCCACATGACGGCATGACACAGTGAGGGTCCGTCTAATTAAATGTGATTGCACGTGACTACAGTATTGCTAGGATTTCAAGCCATATAACTTTGGCATTACTTAAAACAGCACATAATTTTTTATTTTATTTATTTATTTTTTATTTATTTATTTATTTTTGGTTAATATATTGATTGATTCATCATGCTTCATATTTGCTAAAACTGAACAGAAAGATAAATAACAACACCAAGGTGCCAAAGAAATATCAATAACTAGAATATACAACTGAGTTGAATATTTTAAATAATAATAATAATGTATCTGTAAAATATTTTATTGTCCTAAAATAATTATCTTTAACACAATTATTATTATTATTATTATTATTATTAGCAATAAACATACAAATAAATACAAAAACTAAACAGACCAAATTTTGTGATTTCAAATTACATGTATGATTAAAAAAATTGACAAGAGAATGGAAAACAGGGTTAAGTTAGTAACTTAGTTAATAACTGAAATAATTTTTTTTACAAATCAAACAGATTGTCAAATTATGAAATGTATCTTATGTTAAATAACCAAATATATCTATAATATCTAACGGTGAAAAATCATGTGTTTTGTGTTAATGCTTTAAAAGTAAGTCGTAGGACACCAAAATGCACCATATCATGGCATGTACATATACATATACACTTGACAGCCGTTACAGCATAACTGAACACAATTGTAGAGAAATTCATGGTCTATCAAAGAGACAATCAAAATCATAACCTCTGTGCAGAGTCTCTGAGGTTAAATGCCTCATTGGCCAGCTCATTCTTAAAGAAAATATATCCTGAATGTTCATAAATAAGCAGAAAAAATAGTACAGATGTGAAATGTAAATTCTTAAGGTTTATGTGACCTGGACATTTGGAGGACAAAAGAAAGACTCTGGAACCAACAGATGAAATGACTTCAGTTCTCAGTTAACTGAGGCCCTGGAGGAGACATTATATACATATTACCGTCCACTCCAGAGTCAAACAGGCTATCTTGGCAAACACTGCTCTAATTTACAACTCTGATATTCAAGTTGACTCCTGCTAAGAGGAAAAATGTAAATCCCCTAACATTAGAACAAGGCTACCTTTGTTTTCTGCCTAGATCAACTGTTTTCCAGATTAGCTGCAAATTATTCCAGGTATGTGCGTGCATTTTTGTGCTATGTTCTTGATTCAGGCTGTGGATTTACAGTCACTGACCACTAAAAACAAGTTTAATAGTTTGACCAAAAACTGTATTATAACAAACCTCTGCACATAATGTGGCTTGTATGTGTTTTCCTTACAAAATGCAAAAAAATAAAATCACAAGAATTACATTCAGAGATTTTCAATGTCTCAGAGATTTGGGGGATTTTTAATAATCTGCCAAGGGAAAATCCAATAATTTAGGAAAGACATAGCAACCTGAGTCAGAATAGACTGATGATCTGAGCTGAGTTTACTGTAGTGGGTGTAGTTTGAAAGCTAGAAGAGTTACATTTGGAAATATTGGTCTCTGTGAAACCCTAACCCTAGTTTACTACAGTTTATTATGTTGATTTTGTTAAGACAGCATAATAGTAGTATTGTCTCTTTGCAATGAATTGACTGTGTCATTTGTTTGTTGCTTTGGATTAATGTGTCTGCTAAATGAATAGATGCAAATGTAAATTTATCCAGTCAGTGCATCTCTAGCTATGAATCTCTTAGTGCTACTTGCATCTTTCGAGCTCACAGAGAGTTGTTATTCATGCAAAATAAAATGCATGCATGCAACAAATTGTCATAGAATAGCTGCACCACCAGGACATGTTTTAACCTTTTGACAACTTCTGTGCAGACTATGACAAGTGCAAGAGAAAATAAATATTAAAATTTTTAGCTGATCTAGTGAAAATTCCATTACTGCATGCCATGTGTACTATAGTCTAAATAATACAGAGTCTATGGTACCATAATAAATTATTTAGAATAGTTATAGAGAATGTAAATAAAACTTAAACAAAAGATATTGATACAAACTGAAAAATTGATTAAAATGATAAATGATGATAAATATCAATTACTTGTTCCTAAAGAACATTAAATCAGAAATCAACATAAATACTTGACATATAGGTTTTGGTTAGTATCTATGGCTGCAGCATGTCTGGCTTCTGTCTGCAAGGACACATAGTAATTATTTTAGTCTGAGCTGAAACCACATTGAGCTGTGATGCTGTAAAGACTGACTGGCTACCGGCTAATACAAACGCTGCTGAGTCAAAGTGACCCCTAATTCACTCACTCCAAACATTCACGATCATCACATTTATGGGCCTTGAAATGATTTTTACTCATTTGTCCCATTCATAAACACATGCTGGGTGTGAAAGACTCCCATAGGGAATGATATATGAAATTTGATGGCCTTCAGCACATGATATATTGCTTTATTTCATCAAGAAAAAAATCTTATCTTTAGTGAAGTACAAACATCACATATGACACAGCCATTTATCTTGCTTGCACACGGATGACAGACCTTTTCTACAGCAAATCTACCTCAAATCATTTAATGGTGACAATGGTGTTAATGAGCTTGATCAGCCAGATAAGGTGTCATGGTATGGCAGTCAGTTATAACACAACATTTCATCAGACAGCCCAATGTGTAATTGTGTTAATCATATGTGAGGGATCGCTGTGAGCTGTTGGAATTTCCCAACCCACTGTTGAAATAACAAGAGGTCAGAACTCTGTGTTTTGCAAGCAGTGGTTCAATCATGATTTGTAGAAATTAAGTTAAAATATGATATTCAGATTAAAAAAAGAGGTGATTTGCAATAAGTTATAGGAGAAAATGCAGCTGTAGATGAACCATATTGTTTCATGTGTGTTTCTGGACTCCCCCTCATTTCCCATTCTATAATGAGTTCTCTGCCACGGATCTGTTATTCATCACGGCCTACTGGGGTGCATTTAATCTTGATTATAATGGCAATTTTATCTTGCTTTGTAAACATCTCATGAGATGTATTCTTGTTCAACATCAAACTTCTCTGCATTTAGAAAGACCTTTGCTTTTGTTGCCACATGAAGTGAAGAAAAAGATGATTTTTCAGAAGGTATTGTACTTTAAGTAAATAATATCAAGATGACTGATTACTAAAATACTGATGATGCTTTTTTCTATTTTTTAATGCTATACACGATCACATGCACAAAGGCTGTGTCAGAAAGATGGAAAAGCTCTTTATGTGCATTTCAGCAGTTAAAATAATTATTTGTTTTATTTTATTTATTTTTAACATAAATGTATGTTCAAAAGTTCTGGGGTTGGTAAGATTTGTTTAATGTTCTTGAATCAAGGGTGTGATTATTTGATCAAAAATACAGCAAAAACTCAAATATTGTGAAATTATTATTAAAATAATTGTTTTCTATTTTAATGTATTTTAAAATGTAATTTATTCCTACAATGGCAAAGCAGATTTTTCAGCAGCCACTATACTCCAGTCTTCAGTGTCACATGATTCTTCAGAAATCATTCTAATATAATGATTTGGTGCTGAAGAAACATGTCTTCTTATAATCAATGTTGTGCTACTTAATATTATTATGCCATGATTTCTCCAGGATTCTTTGATGAATATAAAGTTCAAAATAACAGTTTTTATTTGAAACAAATATTTGGAATTAAAGTATTAATTTCTTAAAGAAAACAATCAAAAACTTTTCAATGGTAGTGTGTATATAAATTATTTACACATGTAATTTTTTTCCATGTTCATATTGACTTAATTTCTAACAAGAAATAAGCATCGCAGTCACTGAATATTTGCTTAGTCATTTCTAAAGCTCATTTGTTCAAGATCAGAAATGACATGAAACAGTAACATGAAACCAGTTTCATTAGGCGGTAAAAAATATTTGGTTTCAGACAGTCAACATGTAATATTTTGAACTTTAAATCTAATTCAAGTGAAAACACCCAAGCTTTATGCCTTGAGACACATGATTAGTAAGGCTTGTCATGCTTTTAACAAAGTTGATGGCAACACTGACACTATGTGGCTACAGGAGAAATTGCATTTTTTTTAATGACTTGCATCAAAGCTTTGTGTATTGCACTATATTCAG